GCACGAAAAGGAACCAAACCCATAGCTTCATGACCCCAGGTACCGTCTAGAGCTTTTCCAGACCTGTAGGTTATATGGTTGGCAGCTGAACGTGAATCATCTCAAACTACATGTCATTAAATCGATCAATGATTGGTCTAGCTTTGTGAATGCCTAACAACGAAGGGATTCCTCAACTTCCGAACGACAAGTGACACTTCGTTCTGCATTGAGAACAAGAAAGGAGTGCATCGTAGTAGTGTTTAAAGGAGTGCTGGTTTGAAAACCATCACCTGACTTGAGTAGAATGACCATTTTCCATACCCAGCGGCTTTCTCAGTCACATAAATACCAGCGACACAATTTAGTAAATATGTACCGATTATAGGTGGCGGAAGGAGAAGACAGGTGAGTATCAGTGAAAATATAGCTCACTAGTACGACTGGGGTAAACCACTAGCACTCAGTTTGTTAACTAATGTGGGAGGTAAGCCCTGTCAATACAACAGACATTGGAAATGGCAGGAGGAGACGGTTGTGAAGAAGGAATACAAGATTGCTTCATTGTTGGCAGCGGTACCGACAGCGCCGAAAAAGTACATGTTGAATTCAAATGAAAGAAAAAGGCGGCCGAAGTCCCCGCTATCTAGAGGGTGATCATTAGATCAAACACAGCTGAAGAAGGGTCTCGAATCCAAGACTGAAGGAGTGCGTGTTAAGCAGTGCTCAACGCGCAGTTAAGCCACCGTCATCTCGGGTACTCAGGAACGAAGTAAGCCGCCTGCAGCGGCTATGGGCGGAGGCATTCGGCAGATACGACATAGTGTTAATCCCATCTCGGTGTTACGGAGGTAGTTGCGTCATCTCACATCGCGGTTCATGCACCTTGCAGAAGTGGTCGTCTTAAATAAAAGTGGGCAAGTCACGCCCATCTAAAACCAATTACCTAGCTAAAGTTAATCGTCGGGACCTAGGTCCAAGACTACTGGCTATCGGTTGGTCACATCCGGAGCATTTCATGTCGTTGCAGCTGCATTACCGAGACAATGCAAAATGCATGTAACCATCAGTGTTCCTGATCAGATGCAGAAAGAAAGATCAGAAGACATAAACTGTGAGATGACTCAGTCATTTCGTGCAAACTCGTCAGTCACAGATCATGCAAAATCATAGACATGCAAAAAGCGGTTATATGAGATCGATACTTAGCCAAGCGTTGGCCGATGGGCGCACCTCGCACTACGACGGTAAGTTCGGATTCAAGGTCAACTGTCTCTGCACACAAAGCGGTGACTGTTCTCGATTGATGACAATGGCTTCTAATAGCCTGAAAATCTGGGGTCGCTGATCCCGCATCAGGACGGCGAATGATTCATCGGGAATGATTTGGTGGCCGGTGCTCAGCAAGTGCCTTATGATTGCCTAGGCAGCTCGATTTTTCAATTCACCCGATTCCGCCATCACCAGTCCCATCCGGGTGCGTAGCCAATGGGGAATGTGTTCATTGACTCTGAACGCAGTTTAAACTTCAAACAGTGCGCCCGACATAGCTGTTTAAGAAGCTACAGGTGAATTTGTATAAGCAATGGGACATGCACTGCTTCGTTATCAGTATCATGGTAGAATACATAAACACAGGTCTTGTTGAGGTGAGCGACCGTAGTTCAGCTGCATTGCAAGCCCTTTTCACTGACGCATCAATATGTCGCGTGATGACTTCCATAACATGATCATCTATGAATGGAAGTTCGGTAAAGATCGGCTTCTTTTAGACTGTTGATGTACACTTGCTTGGGCAATACATTTTATGCACTGCAATGAATAACCGTTCGATTGTAGCGTTCCGAACAGCAAGTCCTCTGATTCTAGTGTGTCCGGGGTGCGAATCATGTGTGCGCGATAAAAAAGTGTCCGAACGAGCGAATGTTTGTATTATATCAGGGAAAATTTCTTAAAATGTAAATACTGACCTGTCCATATTTTTGTTTGGTAAGCTGATCTTCTGATAGAGCTACCCAATAGCCATGTGATCAGTATGGGGGACAATTATTTCGTTCATAGCGTTGGTTTACATTTTTGAAAAACCCCATAGCAAGATCATAAGTCAGTGTAAGCGAACATATGTTTTCGATAATTCCTCATCAGCCTGATGAGGAATTATCGAAAACATATGTTCGCTTACAAGACTTCTGATCATAGCAGCGTGTTTCGCATAGCTATGATTTTTGCTTCATTGTTATCGATGAGCTTGCACGACATGGCTGCGTCAAATCACAATTTACGTCTTCATATTTTTCTGTTGGGAAGTACAAAGGGAATTTCCTGCAACAAGTACAGTTGAGTCATGTGAAGCGGGTCAAGCTGAAATTAGACGACGGCGTAAGACCACTATGATGGTCTCAGCACTAGGTACATCAATCAAATTGCTACAGACCATATTCGAAACAGTTATCTGTCGTCATCAACAACAGCAGTACATCAGCCACTTGAACTGATGCTTAGCTGCCGTACAACCACGGTGAACTATGGAACGAAGTACAATAAGAGGGAAAGAAAAGTGACTTACCGGAAAACCTTGATGTTATAAACGAACAATCGGGGTAAAGGCGTCTACACCTTGTCAATGACATGCCATCACAAACAGCTGGCTATCGCGTAAAGATAGGGCTGCATTAGCGAGCCAGATTCCTTGCGGCTTTCACTGCCACGCGTCATAATCAGCCATTGCCCGCAGATAACTCAGCACCAAACACAATTTAAACAGGCAGTCCGACTAGGAGAAGGCAACAGACACGCCAGTGGTGCTGACTGCGAACCATGTCCTGTAACGCCTCGAGCCAAACACAAAGCGGGTCACGTCGTCTCCAGCGTGAAAGGCGAGATGGAACGACGATACTCTGTTTGGTCATCAGTGAATTCATTTCCCACTGCCAAGTGAAGTTATGCCCACCTCGAGCTTTCTGCCATCCTACATCTAGCAGAGAAAGCAAGCGCCTCCTAGGTAAGCGGTGACCAGGCATACATAGTACGTGCCCAAGCCAACGCAACTTATTCAGTGCTATCTCTTGCTTTAAGGAACTAGCCTGATTATCACTGCTTAGTATCCGCTTACGCAGATCATCGCTGCAGATGCGCTGGTGCCATCCGACACCAGCAATGCATCGCAGACAACGATGATCAAAGACTTGAAGGTGCCGCAGGTCTTCAGCTCGGAGGGGCTGTCTCGCTTCCATAGAGCAGTACGGCCCTCACCGTGGTCCTGTATACATGGCCTTTCAGATATAGGGAAATCTCTCCCTGACGCCACAGACTCAAAAAGACAGTTCTAGCTTTTTCAGTTTATATGCGCTTATGGTTGTTGATGCAGCCGCCGAGGTAGGTGAAGTGATCGACCTCCTCGAGTGCCTCACCATAAGCGTCAAGGGATCATCAAATGACTAGTTGTCCTGAAACAACACTGCACTTTGAAAGTGCGAAGCGCATGCGAAATGATGGTACCACTCTAGAAAGGTAATTCAGGGTTGATTGTGTCGCCCAACATTGTTAAAGAGCAAGATAATGTCGTCCGCATAATCAAGAACGACTGGCATTTCACTAGGCAGGTGGTAATTTAGAGATGGATTGTCATTATTGAACAAGCAATTCTGAGAGGTAAAACGTAGTGCATCGACAACTATTGTCCTTATACTACTCTTTTTCGCCTGACAAGTGTACCGGGAATTTGCTAAACATATCAACGATATTCAGCAATGAAAAGCCACTTTAACTTCGCCGGATCGAAAGGTATCAACAATGAGGGGACCGAGAGCAGATGGCTCATTGAAAAACAAAGTAATGAGAGTGTACACAGTACACAGACTTCGGGCAGGATGAGAAAGTAAAGGCGGCACACAAACCAACTCGTGCCCCAACCAGGTGGTGATATGGAGTGTTAATAGCACACAGGAGCACCATGACCGTACAGGCGGTGGTGGTGGTGGTGTGATGGGAAAAAGTCCGTGTTGTCGGCCGCGTTAGCCTCACGGGAGAAGGAAATTTTAAAAAAATTCCTCCTGGTCTCGTTCGACTCCATATTGTTTTGACCTGCACAAGTTCCAGACATATACGGGGCCACATCATTAGTCGCCAATATCTTTGAGCTGTATCGGTCTCCAACTAGATCGCCAGGTATTACTTCAGATCATAATGATGTTAACCCTCGGTGGATACTCGACAGAGAAGGCCGCATCAGCACAAGTATTGTTCAGACTAAGGATTTACAGCTAAAACCCCATCATTGATAGTGTTCCCTTTGCCTCAACCTCATTCTGTCGAGCAGGACTCACAGCATCGAACACACTGAACGCCGCTGCATTCTCGCATAAGATTACACTACGGTTTGGTAAATAGGCAAAAGCTGGTGGAATATAACTCAGCATTGCTTCTAGGAAGCGTTTGAAGAAAGTTTAACCCAAAAGTGGTCACAACCATTTAATGTAGCCTATCCTCAACAAATTTGGTGAGTTTTTTGGACTGTCTTACGAGTTAAACTAACGCTGTTTCGGTGCATCAACGGTAACTGATTTGTCCTTTAAATTCTTTAATCCCTTTTACATAAGACGCATGGTGAACTAGTGGTTGAAGTATCCTCTTGTCACATCAATCATGATGGAAAGAGCATGTCTGTGTACTGAAACTAGTCGGCGATAGGATGAAAAACAGCATACATGGTTCTCCCTCGAACTACTTTTAGGTGATGTGCAATGCATCCTTGGCAAAGTACCCCAGTAATCAGGTGTTTTGATTGCTACCTGGGTCAAAGATGTCGGCGCTGTGATTGCATAACATACCGTTTAGCTGACAGCAACAGTAAACGAAACAAACACACCGGTAAGTAGCCAAAAGTCTCAAACTTACTGTTAACGCATAAACAATTTTACATCCAAACCTCCATAAGTCAGAAACGAGATGGCTAAACGAAATCTGATACACATCTAGGTTTAAGGAAGGTGAATTCTGCATTCTAACGAAGCCGGACTAACCTCTTGGCAAAGGTGAGCGACCTTGTTCAGCAAAGTCACCATACCGATAGAGGCGGAAAGAGGGAGACTTTTGTCAACCAGTTCACGTAAAGCCAGTCCGGTATCAGCCTGAGGATACTTCTCACGTGCGCCACCTGACTGACTGTCCAGTGAGTTGTAGGTGGGTGTCTCTGGGGGCTCGTCATCATCCACTGTGCATGCGCGACCGATGTATGCCAGTGAAGCGTGCATTCAAACGAAATAGTTGCCTCTGGAAACAGTAAGCGAGTGATCCGATTATTCGACCGCTGATCGCCAGAACATTTGAAGGGGATTACTCAAGCTGATAAGTGTAGCTGAAACGAAAGAACCATATGAGTAAACGTCTATGGAGAAATAAACTGCGCGAATAACTGACTGAAACAAAGAGTGAGCATCACGGAGACTAGTCCGGATCTATTGCTATATGTAAACATCATAACCTCGTGACAAATATGGGTGTGAGGGAACAGGGCTGAAACAGGTATAAGGATGTTGGCGTAACCTGCCCGGAATTCTACGACAAAAAGTCTAGAAATTGTAAAAACGAAGTAAAATACGAGGATATCTATGAATTCCACCAAGATATATTGATGAGCGCAAAAATGTTTCTTCTTAGGTACAACGTAAATGACCGCTTTCATCTACTGTACAGTGACATTTCAAAAGGGGTCTTTCTCTTCTAGGCGTTCGAAATTTGAATTTTATTTCTCCGTACTTTATCGCATTGCAATACTATGTCACTATATCTGTTAGGCTTGATTGTCGACCCAACGAAAGTCATAAATATAATGCGCAAGTGGTTGTCGGACAGACAGTCGCGCGTGTTTCATTTTTCTCACTACTTATGCATAGTGTATTGTTATAAACTTAGAATAAGTGCTAAAAATGCACCCAATAAGGTTCATAAAGCCTATTTTGACTTGATTTGTATCCATCAATAATTTTCTTCACGCAATTATACAAACCTGAAAGCAAATCATCGAAAACATGTTTTCTCTTCCGCTGAATTTCGATAGCTAAATGGAATCTATTGTATGTTAGATATCGTTTAGAACCCCCTGTACAGAAATCGCTCAACGGGTATGCAAGCTCCTTAACCGGGATAAGGAGAGTGTATATTTTTTATCAGTTCTGTTGAAATATATTGACAAAACACCGTCCATACAATAGAGTACAGGAAATCTTCTGTCGTTCACGTATCAGGCTTGAGGGGTCTAGCAGTCAGGCAGATGGATAATATACCAGTCAAGTGAAAGGATCCCAAATGCGGCAGGACTCATCTATCTAACATGCTAGCCAGCCTATAAATCGAGTAGAGCTAGAAAATGTGGTTGAGAAAATTAACGTAAAGCAAGTAGCAAAGCCCCCCAAACTGCTTCTAATATAAATTAAAAGGAAAAAACAACAATTTCTTTCTAGACCGAACTTAAATATAGGTTGGCAATTTATCACATTTGACGCTTGATCGTGTTGCAATGAAGGTCCTTTCAATGGACTCTAAGTTCTGTCTCCATACCAGAACAAATAAGAGACTAGCAATTACGAATCAATTCGAAAATTTGCACACGCATAATTCACAAGTGATCGCGTTCTCAGCTGGACCGCGTGGTCATCTAGGGTGCTTGATCCACCTCAGGCGAGTAGAACCGCTCGTGATTGTAGTTTATCGTAATCCCCTGAGTTGTTCTTTGTGTTGGCTGCAGCATCTTCAAAGACACATTAGTCATCCCTATCTTCTACACACGAACAATTGCAATTGTCATCGAATGCGCTGGCCTGAAGTCCGATTCATGCACGGATATTGTGAGGTCGATGAAAAGTTTGTGGACTTCGTACTTTAAACTGCAGCCGTGTGACAAATAATGCAATCGACACGCACAACGCCGTGTCTAACTCCGTCGCACTCAGGCTTGTTGGTAACGAGTAACGAACTACAAGTGCATGAATTCTGGAGGCCTACCTAACAAGTAACTACTCAGTTCCAATTGCTACCATGGAACAGCCTTTGCCGTATTCCAATCCGCTGGAGTTAGTTACAAACTACTGGAAAACCGACTTCGACGGTTTAAGGCAAGCCGTGAGCCAAGTAGATCGGTCTCTGCTGCAAGCTGCATCTCTGAAAGACTGGCGAACAGTTAAAAAAGTGGGAGTGACATCGCTGCGTTCTCGTTTTGTACCACTGAAGTGTCGGCAAGTTGGGCCAATTAAGCCACATTGGTTCGACAAGGAAGCGGCGGCGCAGACCGCGATACAAATTCTTCCACTCCATCTCCCACAAATAATACGAAGCCTAAACGAGGCAGCGAAACATCTGCAACAGTACAAGAACGATAAAGCGCCGGTATTTCGAAAGGCAGCTCATAGCCGCCGCAAAGACCATCCTGAAGAAAATATTTACTTAAATGAAGCGGCGCTTGAAACCGGCAGGTGATCTACCAATGATGAAGGGCTAGGATGGACAGACCTTAACTTCTAGCACTAAGTGTGAGTGTACATGAGCGGCGCACTTCGCTTCTGTATTTGCAAATGATCAGGTGTCTGTACCGAGTTCGACGTGTACCGCGGTTACCGAACTATGCAGGCTGGATTGCGGCGTTGAAAGTGTGCGTCAATTACTCGTAAACTTTGGCAGCACCAAGTCTGGTGGCCATGACGGGCGACATCCCCTGATTCTCAAGCCCCTATCGGCCGTCCTCTCATCTGTCGTGACTGAAGTGTTCGGCAGGTAGCTATCCGAAGGTACATTGCCAAAAGGCAGTGGAGTGGACAGGCACAGGCTGACACCTACTTTGGTCAAAGTTGCCGAGAAGATCGTGAAGTAGGATCTACTAAATTTGCTCCAATCAATAGATCTACTGACATCCGCACAGCATAGGATTAATGCTGCAAATTAAAAATTCATGGACAATACGAACAGGCTATATCGTAACGAACTATGTATGCTTCAGACGCTCAAAAGCAGCTTCCGCACTTGATCAGAAGTAGTTACTCGTCTCTTCTCTTCCCTTATGAGATCAATAATAAAGTGCTATTCGCTCGCCTACTGTTCAATCACCCGAGACAAGGCACAGATAATCGAACGAGCCCAATGCGTCGCTATCATGCTCATTCCAGATTTACGAGGCTTATTGTACGAAGACCGGTGCGAGAAACTAGGGTTCTACAGCTTATTCCATAGCGGGTTGCTTGTCGAGCTCATCGTAGCCTACCGTAAATTACATTTAGGTGACTTCGTCATAGTGAGGCAGCTGCTTCACTTGCGAAGGCCATGCAACACACGTGGACACTGGTACAACCTTGTGGCGCATTATCTAAAGCGAGCGCCCCAAGCCTGTGCTTCGAAGGGGAACGCAACTGCTTGTAACCGTTTGCCAAAACATGTCGTAGATGCCTAATCTGGTCAGCAGGTCAAAATTTCTCAAGGTTTGCGTTGCGATACTATCAGGTGCAAAAAACGATGGCGAACTGACACTGACTTCTCACATTTGTAAGTTCGGTGATGCCGTGCGTTAGAGTTCAAAGATTCATATAAAAACTTGGAGAACGATTAGAGCACTAAAAGAAAACAGGCTATTGGAACAATTTTGATCAGATTCCGATGGATTTGTACAGATTTAAATTTCTAGTTGTGACCACGATACAAAATTCAGTATTCACCAGTATGACTGCTTGAAAAAAGTGCGGTATGAATAGTTTCTCAAATATCTTTAACGACGTGGACGTGTACGCAACAGTTCAACACTACCACGATTCTTTTCTGGGTACCGGTGTTATTCTGGCCATCTTCTGGATGTCACGGATGGTGCCAATCATTAGGCATCGATTGGAAAGCTTTGTCTGAGATAACTAAGGCATCCGTACACTCCTTCACAGTGACTGCTGATATGTTGCATCCGGGCGACTGGTTTTCTTTGGCTTCAATCATGTGAGTTTCCTGTAAACATTACTGGTGAGATCAAACCGGAGGATCTGCAGTGGTAAAGGTAGGCAAAGGAATGCATCAGGTGATGGGGAGCTGCATTCTATGTTGCATCTGTCGACATCCACAGCACTTAGTGGCTTTCAGGAATTTCCACCAATCAGTTGCTACAAAAGTCGCCGCAGACCACAGGAACTGTAGTTACTTACAACGTCCTCAATATACAGTTTTAAAGCTCTTGACAAATGTCTAACAAAGACAGTTAGCTTATGTTGATCAGCACGTTCTCTTTTGCGCCAAAATTACTTGAGAAGCGGAGAGAAAAGCTAGCAATGTGCAGATAGATCGTTTCAATAAAATAACATAGACAGAAGCACAAATTACTATAGCCTGGAGGTGAGGAACCTGAGCCAAGAAGTCTTCATCGACAAAAATTTTAAAAATCAATTAAATAGAACATCGATATGAGCTTTCAGGGTTTATCGAACAGTTTGGTTATGGAACATTTTGAATGGCCATTTAATCAGTGAAATACTGTTGACCTTACTGTATGTCTTCACCATACAGTGGTGAAAAAAGTTGAGTATACTGGTGAAAACTACATTAAAATGTGCATCGAATCTGGTGTGAGGGTTTACCAAGTTAGTCAAGCCCACCGAGTTAATGAAAGCTGTCATACTCTCAACGACGTCCATTTGGGTGGAGCGCGGTTTGAAATTTTGAAGGAAGCTCTTTCTCACTATTTTGCTCACTAAACTCATTTAGAAGCATATATCATAGAGGCAGAGTGTGAAAACATTTTTCTGTTCCAATCGTTATTGGATTGCTATCATCAAGAAAGTTAACATGCGGAACCTTGGGCATACGGATTATTTGTCCTGTGCCTTGGTCTTGTGCACCTTTGATTTGATATCAGGATTCTCACCGACATTCATTTGTCGGCGGGTTGATTGTCTTTTGTCCTACTCAATACCCCCGTGAGTTCGTTCTATTAATTTTTGTTAGTGTTTGCTGTAAATGTGGTTTTATCATTAGTTTCGGTTTAGCTGCGTCATTGTTCCTTTTTATCTCTGCGTCCGTTTGTCAATTCTATCGTTCAGGTTTTATATACACATATATTTGCCAGTCTTGGATAAGTACTTTGCATTTCGATGGAGTAAAGCATAGCCCAAAACGACTGACAGCCAGTGCTAATCGGTCCAGTGCAGCCTGGCACGTTTGGGCGCTGTCACATATAAGGGCAATGTCGTCCACATACTCAAAGTTAAGAAGTCTCTCACCAGAAAGTAGCTCCACATGTTGTAGGTCGTATCCAACGAAAGCTGTTTCTATGACTTCGTCAACTACGAAGCTAAATAGGAAAGGTGAAAGTGGACAACGGTGTCTCACACCACTGAAGATATTGAAGGGCGGCGACACTTTGTCACAAACCCACACTCTGCCCGAACTATGCGCGTACGTTTTGATAACTTTACGTATTCGTAAGGCACACCTTTCCTCAGCAGACAGTCCAAAAGGGCACATCAATCGAAAGAATCGAAGGCACCTTACATGTCAAGAAACGCGACAATGGTGGATTGCCAATAAACATGGCGGTTCTCCAACAATTGACGCAAAGGGGAGATGTGGTCGATGCAGACCCGACATCGACGAAACCCGGTGTAACGTCCACCGTGAACGTTGAATAACGCGTAGCCAAAGATCCCGAAATCAAAACAAGTCGGATCACAAATACTACGGTACTATTAAAATATATACAGTTGGTAATTGGGACATACTTCAATTGTTCAGTATCCCGGTGTATGCAAGTTGACAACAAGGTGTCAGTAAACAATAGGAGGGACGAGTTGTCTACGCCGGACAATCAAGGGAGCAAGTCACCACACCTGAGTGCTACGAGTATTAAGACCAATGGCGTTGACCAATCAAGGGATAGTCCAATCACAGGGTGAGAGTTTAATGGCACGCATAAACATGGTGTTTGGACAAGCGGCCAGTGAATGGGGGAGGGGGTGCGACACATGCTCCGGGCTGAACGTGTCCTGTTCGGCGAAGAGTAGGGTTGGAGATCCAAGGTCGTCGGTAGACGCACACACACGGAACCAGTGCCGGGATTAGCATGCACACACAGACACACCTACAACACTAACAATGGGAATGTAAGGAGGCGCACATGAACGCTGGTCGATATCCATCAACGATCGGCCAAGGTCTGTAGACTAGACCACGAAGCGAAGAGTAGAAGAATTTCATGGGTAAATAAGCGGATTACACCCGGCTTGCATTTCACCAGCGTCAATCGGGCTGTGAAGAACGACCGACGCAAACAATTTGGAGGCAATTGAGATCAAACTGATCCCTATAGGATTGCCGCATTCCGAACGGGAGTCACCTTTGAAAATTTGGACTATGACGGAGCGGCTCCAGTCTGTCGGAGCAGGTTCCTGCTCCCAAAGTTTCACTATCAACTCATGTAAATCGTCTAGAAGAGCAGTTCCCCGAGTTCGAAGAAGGCTGGAAGGATTCTAGTTGCCCCTGCGGTTTTATGCAATTTTAACAATCACATCTTACGTGCGATTCCTGCGCTTGAGGGCGGATCTAAGGAGACGGCCCATGGAGAAAAGCACACAATGCCCGAAAAAGAAAGTGATAATTCAGATCGCTAAAAGTGCCTCGCAAAGTGTTCGGCCTAACGTTGCAAGCGTTTTAACAATCTATGGATCGGCTGTCCACTCTCGTCGCGTATTGTCTCACTAACACTAGGTCTCCTGCTGCCTGTTTCCCGTATCAGACGGAATAACTAACGATGATTATTAACTGCAGTGGCTCTTTCTATTTCCGATGCATGATGAGATCACCAGGCTTCGCGGTCTCTTCAGGCAAGCACGCAGCTTTGCCATGAGATTTTTGTGAGCCTCATTGTAAGAGTTCAGTACAGCCTAATAACGATTTAGGGACCGATTCTCGCTAGAGATGGGAAGCATTTGCAACCAGGAATAATGCATTCACATGTAAGTTGAGGATGAACTGGAGAAAATGCGTCTAAGTGACCGAAATTCGCCTCAAATGTCTCACTGTGGCGGCTAGAAGCACAGAAAACCGGTGCACTAGCGAACATTTTACGGTAAATCGTGTAATGAGGGCCGGCGTTTACGTGCACATTCATTTGTTGTAGCAAGAAAAATGACGAGTAAAACTACTCTGGACGGTTTGTAGGGCCTTCTCCAGCAAGGTGATGTCATCGGCGTAGTCCAAGTCTCTGTCTCCAGGGAGGAGCTTAACACGACAGTTCTGGACACCTTCCAGTGTCCCTTGGACGACATGTTCGATGGCAAAATTGAAGAGGAAACGTGAAATATGGCAACCTTGGCGAACACCGCTGGTCACAGCAAATGAAGAAGAGTGCGTGCCGTAAGCCCTGACTTTGCCCGACGTGTGACTATAAACTTCTTTCAGAATAGTTACAAACTTGTCGGGCACACCTTTCTTCAGTGAACAGTTCCACAACGCAGATCTATCTACTGAATCAAATGCCGCTCGGATGTCCAAAACATTACGATTGTTGGCCGCCGGTGAATATGACGAAGGTCGAGAACTTGCCGAAGCGTGAAGATTTGGTCGATGCAGCCGCGGCTTGGACGAAATCCGGCTCGTTCTTCTCGGGAAAACTCCTCTCTAGTCGTCGAAAGCCTGCTAAGTAGGACCGACACGAAGATTTTGGATGCGACAGAGGTTAATGAGATTCCACGGTAGTTGCAGCAATCGGCGCGGGAGCCCTTCTTGTGAATCGGAACAATGACCGATTCTCCCCATGCGTTCGGAACCTTCAGTCCAAACTTTCGTGAACAGTGATAGGATTTCGCTGACAAGTACACTCTCGCCATCTTTGAATAGAGCCGGTGGTAGGTTGTCGGGACCCGGTGCCTTGTGACGTTTCAAAGATTGGATTGCATTTCGAAGCTCTGCTTCATTTGGGGGGGGGCTGTGGAGACAGGCCAAGCATCATACATTGGGGCTGGAGGTGTCACATGGGGCTGTGTTGGGTGGTTGAATTGAAGAGCGAAATGCTCTGCCCAGCGACCCAATCGCCTGTGAAGGTTGGTGATCTTCGTGCCGTCTGATTCGCAAATCGTCTGGCTGATAGCGTGGAAATTGCAACCAGTGGCCCTGATGATGTAAAATAGACGGCGGAAGTTGCCAGCCGATGCAGCGGCTTCCATCTCATCAGCTTGTTTTGACCACCAAGATTCACGATCAGAGCGAAGGCTTGCTTTCAGCTGTTGCGTAATAGAACGGCGGTGTTCGTTGTACTCTGCACCAGCAGGCACCGCCCGTCGGCGATCCAGCAATTCCGAGGATTTTCCCGAGATCCAGCTTTTGGGAGTGGAGCGAGCGAGGCCACAGCTGGACAAACCGGCCGACAGCAAGGCTTGTTGCAGACTTGACCAGTGTTGATCAACATCCAGAGTGTGAGAGCAAGATTTTCACCAAGCCTTTGTTGATACTCTTTTTTCACTACTGGGTCCTCAAACTTGTAGGTGTTCAGTCGGGTGTGTTTTGACCTAGGCGAACCATCAAAACGCATGCAAACGGTCGCACACACCAGTGCATGATCGGTATCGACGCACGTTGACCAAAATGATCGGCAGTCGCGTACGCTGCCGAGCCACCTGCGACTTATAGCTATGTGGTCAATCTGTGACCAGCGCTGGGTTGATGATGGGGGGCGCCAAGTGGCGTACTGGCGTCCAGGATGACGAATGCTGGTGCTGGTGAGGAATAGTTGATGATCAGCACACAAACTGAGCAGTCTCTCTCCATTGTCTGAGCGAACATCATCATATCCATGCGGTCCCCCGAGATGGCGCTCACATGGCAGCAGACGACCGACACGCGAGTTGAAGTTACCTGCCAAAACAATGATGTCTGTTTTAGGAGCCCTTAGCAGCAGCTCATGAAGGTTCTGGTAGAACTGGTCCTTGACAGTGTCCGAGCTACAGTCAGTGGGCGCGTAGGCAGAGATCACGAAGAGAGCACGCTTTTCGACTCGACGTCTGCTAACTTTACAAGAGCCATGGAGCCACATCGCACAAAGGCGGCTATTGATCGGAATCCAATCAATCAAAGCAGTCTCGGCTCTAGCACTGAGGGCGATTCCAACACCAGCTTGCCCAGATGCGGCAGATTCGGCGTCACCAGAGAGGCGTAGATGGAAGCGGGTGCGTGGGTGGAGCGGTGACACCAGCTGGTAGACGGAGTTAGCATCCTGGAGGCGTGTTTCAGTCAGGCTGCAGATGTCAATTCCATGGGTCTCTAGCGTGCGTGCA